GCCCGTGTGTCTCCTCTTCAGGCAGCCACGGCGGCAGCTCTGCTTGCAGTGATAGCAGAAACTGGCTTGGGTTGAGCCTGAAGTCCAGGGCTGCAGATGAGGTGATGCCTCTCCCAGTCTTTGTGCTGGCAGAAGGAGCCACAGTAGCGCGCCGCGTTGCAGCCACTGCACGTCTCACTAGCTTTGCGGCCACAATTCCAGCAACACTGAGAAGGAAAAGAGGAAAATCTCTAAGTGTTTACAAAAATGTAAAGTCAGGAAAGTGCATGCAGATTTGTATCTTCATTAAATCTGAGTAAGCCTTCTCCAAAATAACATTCCACAAGCCTGCATGTATTATTTCTTTGGCCTCTTGGGGGCAGTGAAAACAAGTTGTAAACACAACACAACGCTGACACAAACTGACAATGAACCAACCAGCTAACTAACAAACTGAGGGAACTATCTGGCTCTTTAGCTGCTTATGCTCCTCGGTGTTAACCAAGAAGTTATTCTTTCACTTAGTGCTGATCAAACCTACAGTGGATTTTTACAGTTTTTTGAAGACAGGCTCTTGCACTAGGGAACAACACTGATGAAAGTGAACCAAAAAGAAAGTTTGTGGGCCAAAAGTAGCAGCAAAACAGCAGCTTTATATAGAACCATGTAATCTGTCTGCTGTGCTATTATGCAGCATACCATTTTCAGGCAGGACTCCATACACTCTCTTCCAGCTCCATAATCTACATCTCTTCTTACCTCACTGGAATCCTCCTGCTCATTGATGACCATGATGGCATCCTCCTGAGCCTTCCTCTTCGCCTCAGCCAGAGTCTTTTCCATCTTAGCCCTCTCGGCAGCAATCATCTCAAAAGCCTTCTGCTCGGCTTCTGCTACTGCTTTCTGAACCTCATCCATGGCCTGACGCTTCACTTCATTTACTGCCTCTTCTGTATATCAGGGGAGGCAAGCGTTTCAAGTTTAGGGCTATTGCACCAATAAAAAGAGACCACAGATCAACACACATCACCTAATGACTGGTTCAGACTACACGATTTGTTCGATGGCCACTCTGTGACGTGGACCTGTCTGCAGTTTGCACGAAGAGTGCAGCAGCCTGTGTTGTCTCTCTTTCAATTAGAACTTGAAGTCAAAAATCTTGTGTCGAAATCTGTTCCCCTATCAAGATGTGTTTCCCCCTGTTAAAACTATGTTTCCAGTAGCACCCCCATCTGTGGTTATGGTTAGGGTGCAGGTTAGGGGACACATCTCGACAAGGGAACAGGTCTCGGCACAACACCGGAAGTAAAATCAAAAACTAGCCAGCTAGTAGTAGTAGCTAGTAGCTACTTCACAAGGCTGACTGTGAAAGTCTATATGCTAATGTTAGCTGTATCACTGTGATATTTAATGAAAATGGTTCAGTCCGATATGCCAAAAAGAGGCTTCTGTGTTCCCGTTGACCCATGTCAGAAAATGAAAAAAATTCTGACATGCTAGACTTTGTGTCGGGACGTTGTGAGGCATCCCAGATGCTGCATCGGTTGTCGTTTATTATGACACACTATATGAGATAGTGATCGACTGTCGCGTCTGACGCTGTTTGTCATGTTGGGCTGTTATCGGGCTAAAATCATGTAGTCTGAACTGGCATAAAGCATTCATGTAACTGCTCTCTGTAATAACTATAATAAAAATGAATTACAGTTAGTATTGTTCTAACAAAACCTAATTAAATTCGGATTTTAGGGTGCTCTTACCAGCTTTCCTCCAGATCTCATCTGTAACGTATGCTGAGCCTGGCCGTGGACCAAAGTCGCGCTGGGAGTCTGCGGGAAAACAGACACAGAAGGGATTAGCACCTGCCAGGGTTTATAAAGATGACTAATTGTTGAAATAATGGTTTCAGTTATAAAGGCTTTTTGAATGAAAGTTCAATCACTGTAACAGGTGCTTACAAAGAAAAGCCACACAGGTAGGCAGTAATATTATCTTCATCATATAGTCTTTCATTTTCCTCTTAATGCAAACAAGTCTGCATATCTAGGCCACAAAACCAATGTAATTGTTGTTTATCAGAGTCTTGGACTGATCTGACAGCTTTAGAAAGGAATGTGTTTGGCTTGGAGGGAATCACGGACCAACAAGCTGTGTCAACATTCTGGCTGTTCCCTCAAATCTGTCTCTCTTTCTGCATTGCAGTTCATTTTTTGTGTTGCTACAGGCTTTACCTCTCCAACACTGCTGCCTTATTCAGCTTCTCTTTCCCCATTCTCTCTTATATTTCATCTCACCACAGCTTTCTCTATTTTCCTTCATTTACATCCTCTCTCTTCCACTAAACCTGCATGCACCCTCCACCACCATGTCCACCCCCACTGCAGTCTTCCTCAGCCTGAGCCCAGGCAGGCAGGCAGGCTTCCCGGCTGGGGGTCCAGATGGTGCTCTGGCGAGTCAGCCAGCTCTGGGTTTCTGAGCCTGCAGGACGGCAGGACGGCCCTTCTGTGGCCGATATGGCCGACGCCAGTCCTGGCACCTGTCTATGACTATGGACCAGCAGGGGGACGGCAGGGCTGGCACTCAGAGAGAACACTGCCAGTACACAGCAGACTGGGGGACTAACTGTGGAAGGACTCGCTAACATGTGCGGCTTAACTGCATTTCTTTAAATGACCACTAGACGGTGTAATGAGTATGAAATACAAGCGAGGCTGACCTGGTTTGTGTTCAAACATTTTAGCATCATGTATGTTGACTTTAGGATGTCTGAATCAAACCTATCTCGTTTGAGGTACAGGGAAATTTATTTGTGGTGCCCAAAGCAGTGCCCAGCATCCAAAAACTCAAATCGTGGAGTGCAAACAAAATTCTATTCACTCTCATGTAATTGTGTGGGAGTAGTATAGAGGTGAAGCTCTCAAAGCATGTGTAAATAAAAATCTGCATGCCTAGATAATACTATCAAGGTAAAAACCTTTTTAATTTGGGGGAGTTACCCTTTAAGTGTAACAACTGACTGATTACATTGATTTGACTTCATCCTGGCATAACGAAGCAATCCTTGAGAATTCTTGTGCAAAATAACAGAAATGACAAATTACTGAGTTCAGTGGCACTCTCAGATAATTCATCTGATACCCACCCGACTCTGCAGAATGGGGACTGTGTGTCTTGGAAAAGGGAGCAGAGCCTGATCCTCCTTTGCGTGGGTCTTCCTGCTCACTTGAACGCCGTCTCCAGTAGTTGAGCTCCTCACGATCTGACTCCTGGCATCGTCTGAGCACGCTCACTGACCTCCGTGTCTTTTCCACCATGTCCACAATGCAGTTCAACACCTGAGAGCACAACAGAGTATTGGCTAAATTTGCTTTTAGCTTGTTATCAAGTATTTCTGGAATGATATTCCAACAGAACTTGCAGCATAAACATTACAGCAGAGAATGGCATGTATTAGTAATTCAGATATCAGTGTCTAGATGAACTATAGAAGTGTTGGTTCAGAGAATGTCAAACACTATTTTGCTGAGGACCACTGTAAAATAAATTGCATTTTGCATTCTTTCTATATCACAACCCAACAGCAGCAGTGGTGAATGTCAGCAGACTTACATGATCCAGATGCCTCCATTCATCAGCCCACTCTCTGTCTGTCAGTCTGTGGTCTACTGGCTCCTCACGGTAGCCCCCGTTAGTGCCTGATTAAAACACACAGAAGACAGACCACAGGCCACTGTGATTAGCATTCTTCTTAATGTATGAGAAGCCACAAGTGACAGTAAGTGAGTGAAAAGGTGCGTGTGTGTATATAATCATCGATGCTTGTGCTTTAACCAAAATTTTTAAATTTGAGATGCACGTAGCTTTATTTCACCACAAGATTACAAATTAGAGAGATCAAAATCAGCCTGAACTCTGCAAAAAGCAGAAGAGACATGACTTAAAAGTCTTCATTAAGAATGACAGGAATGAGATGAAGTAAATGGGAAGCATGGAAGAAAAAATGTGAGATGAACTGAGGGGTTGTGAACGAGAAGGGTGGGGTGAAAGAGAAAAGGAGAAACATGTGATGCAAAACAGACTCCCAGCACCAAGAGCCTGAACACATCTGGAAGTCAGCTGTCAACCACACACACACACACTCCAACTTCTCCCTCGGCACCTCCCCTCCTGGAGCTCACAGCATTCCAGTAGGGAGACACTCAGGCTGAGTAGAGTGGCTCCACTTCTAAACACAACCAGCCGATCTGACAGTCACTGTGGACCATTACAACCATGTACACGTGTACACACACGTGGGGCGGCTGTGGCTCAGGAGGTAGAACGAGTTGTCTCCTAACCGGGGATATCATGTGTGAATGGGAAATAGTGTAAAGCACTCTGACTGCGCTTCAATGTGTAGAAAGTGTAAGACCACTTACAACTAAACTGTAGCTTGCACTGAAAAACTTGTGATCTAGATTCATTTACACTGACATAGACACCACACTAACACACACTGACTACAAAGATGCAAACCGCAGTGTCTTAAAACTAAGTAAGAATCCGCCACCCAGAGACCACATGTGCACTCGGCTGGCTGCAGAGAATAATTATTCCCTCATATACACACTGACTAGCTTTCCCCTCGACTTCTTCTCTACTCCTGGTTCTCATCAGTGTTCAAAGACATGAGTGTGGACTGATGTGTTTATGTGTGCATGTGTGTGTGCCTATGAGTTAAGTGGCGGCAGGCGGGCGGGAGGCTGTCAGACAAGGGACTAAGGCCTCGTAAACACAGCGCCTCTACCATGAACATATCAAGGTGTGTGTCTGTGTGGCTTTGAGCTACTGCTGTTTCCACTGTGTGCTGACAAGCCCCAAATGGAGGGTAGATATATTCCAGAGTAGAGCCAGTCCTGCCTGCCTGGACAGTATGGCTCTGTTTATACACACGTGGACTCCAGAGACACACGGGGACGGCTACACTTCCACACAGACAACCCGTTATGACAGAATATGAACTGTCTGGGCACTGTGTCTGTTTTCATGCAAATATGTACATTTCAAAATGTATTTATGAGCCAGTTGTCAAGTCAAGTCCAGTTTGATTTATACAGCCCAATACCATGAATCACAAAATTTGCGTCAAGGGGCAACTTGTACTGATAAAGTTAAAAGTCTTTAGTGTTTATGCAGTTCGCAGTGATGTCATTCCACCAAAAATAAGTTTAGGCGAGTTCATAGTTGATTTAATGTCCCAGAAGAATGTGTTGTAGTCTGGGACAACTACTCATTTCTTCATGACATCAGATTAATATCTGATGCTGTTTTTATTAATGAAGCCAGACTAAAACTGAACTTCTCAAACTCTCATCACCAGCAATGTGAAAGGAAACCCACTGGTCATAAAAGTAATCTTTAGAAAAAACGTGTTTGAAGAAACCTGGCCATATAATTTAATAAGCATAATTAAGTTTTTGTCTCACACACCGGGGAGTCTGGGCCTATCTTTGAGCTCGCGGATCTCCAGCACACGTTGGCTGTGCTCACGGTGTAAGATGTGTGGCGCTGCAATGTCATCCAGGGCGTAGTGCTGCAAGGGTGGAGGGGTTGGGTGAAGCTGAGCATTGAGGGGCAGTGGGTGGGCGGGGCTGTGTCGGGGAGCAGGGCTGATGGTGCAAATTCGTTTTGCAGCAGGTTCCATGGCAACAGGTGGACGTTCATGGAAACCATTCTCTTTAGCCCTGGAAAACAGACAACACTGAGTTATCTCTCAAATCGAGAACATGTTAATGTATATTTCTACCAACATACTAACGCTGTATACAGAAGAGTGACGAATCAAAGGAAAAACCTGAATAAATAAGTGGGAATGAGAGGTCATTGAATGATTTGATGATTATAAAAATGATGTGAATCATATGCTATGGCCTTCACAGCCACCAGCTCAACCCTTTTTTTTGAACACCTGGCAGATTTTGGACCAATGTGTTAGACGGTGTCTCCACCATCATCATCAAAACACCAAATGGGGGAATATCTTTTGGAAGAATGGTGCCTATCTCTCCAGCAGAGTTCAGAGACTTGTAGAATCAATACCAAGGTGCACTGAAGCTGTTCTGGCAGCACATGGTGGCCCAATACCTGAGACAAACTGTTGGTTTTTCCTTTAATTTCTCACCTGTCTGTAGGTTATACATCTTTACAGAAGCAGTTTTTGTGCTTTCATCTAACCTGCTGGGGCTGTGTCTCTTGGTTCCGGCATCAGGAGGCTCCATCAGCAGCTCAGAGGAATCTGGAGAGGAGGCCAGGGTAGTGCTTAGCAGGAGGTGCTCATGCTGGGACAAGTATTGCGCTGGGGTCTGCTTGGCTGCTCGTGCGCAGTGGAGCAGCTCCCTCTGCAGCAGGGGTAAGTTAGCCTGGAAAGAAAAGAAAAACTCCTAAGGTTTCATTCCAAGACTGGGCAGAAGAACATTTCAAACAGCTTCATAATTTGATAGCACATTATTGTACCAGGTTAAATAAAACTTTTGTCACTCATATATTCAGTCACATATCAGTCGTGCCTCAAATACTCATTCAGAAGCAGATGGAACCAACAGAAAAAATGAAGCACTGGACAGATTGTGCCTAAAGAAGAGCAGGGGAGGTCTGGAGCAAGCAGGCTAGAACTATCTTAGGCAGATTATCTAAAAAGCTAAAAGAGACAGTAAAGACCTACAGTATCTCTGGGGGAATATGCCTTGCTGGGAGGAGGTATTTGACTCCTTTAGGTCTGGCTCTAAGCTCAATCTGGGTCTAAGTGTTGTTTTGTGGCTCCCTCTATGGTGGATGTGGTTTCCCTCACTCGCATAAAAATGGCAGCTTCTTCTAAACCATTTAGGTTGGTTAGTAACCCCCTACACAGGTCTCAGCAAAGATATGCAAAATGATACTGGCTTATATATATTTCAAAACAAATAATACACAGGTTCCACTTCTCCCTTATTTCTTACCCTATCTCTCCTTTTTAATGTTAATCTATGACTGTCTCTGCCATATCTTTCCATTTTGCTTTTGTTCCCTGCGTTTCCCTAATTAAGAACAGACTCTGGTGTGTTTGCAATTACACCACTTCCTCGCTCCCTCTTCCACCTCTTCTTGAGCAAGCAACTAAGCAACCACACTGTACTAGTTTTGTGGCTCTGACTTTCCCTTCTCATGCAGCGCTTTCAACCATCATCTAGCAGATTGTGTCAAAGACCCCTCTCCCATCTAATTTGCCCATTTCTGCTACCTTTCAAATCTTTTCAGACTTCTCCATAAAGATGCTGATACTTCTGCTTTATGGTCTACTCTCTATAACAACCGTGTGCTCTCTTGTTTCCCCAGGACCCCACATGTGGTGTGTGCCAGTTGAGCAGAAAGCTCTCAGGGCTTCAGCGGGGCGGATGCTAGATTGGCAGCGCCTTGGCAGCTGAGCGCTCTCCTAACAGGACAGCAGCTCCATATGGTGCACTGAAGCCCACAAAAAAAAGGGACCACTTTATAGGCTTGTTTCACACTTCCGAGTTCCCACTTTTCTCTCTCTCATCCTCACCCACCTCTTCCTCTTTTCCAGTTCCTCATCCCCAGACTTGGTCCCATCTGTGTATTCCCCCACCCCCCACCCTTTCTCTTTTTCTTAAAAGAGACTACTCTCAAGAAGTTGGAATTAAGTTGTGGAGACCCCACCCTTTTGCAATAAATTAGTAGATGGACGGGAACAGAGGTTTCTTGTCTCAGCGCTTTCAGGCAGACAGATGGAGGGGCTCCAAAGGTGAGTAAGAGGTAAGTGTGGAAAAGGAGCAGATTTTGATGGCTTGCAGTTACAGCGGTACAATTGACCCAAGATTTATGGGCTGCTCTGCTGAGGGGAGCTCCTAAAAAGTATACTTTTGCAGACTCTCCTGGTTACAAAGAGGATCAAGAGGCTGTATAACACACACACACGCACATTCATCTGTTGCTTGTCAAGACAACATGCAAATCTTGTTAGTTACTTTAAACTGCTGAGAAGCAGTTTATTCAGTTTTAAAACCTACACAGTGGCATATTTATAGACTTCGCTGTAATAAAGTGTAATGAATCTATTACTTTTGCTTCACCATGACTCACAAGATGTAATGGCCAACCAGAGTTAGGGCTATGTTGCTGTCAAGGACCTTCTGTGAATCACTTGTTTTTCTGGGGTTAACAAGGTGTCATGGTGAACAACTACAGCCAAAACAAGTGAGGATGAGTCCTTCAGCAGGGCCAGATGATTCTGACAGGTCACATAACCATATGCTTTAGTATTTAAATCTTAACCCACACGCAGGAGAAAAATACTGCTTCAAAGAAAAAAGTGATTTTACATAATAATGCAAAGCAAATATAGAAAGATAGACAAGAAGATGAAGATGTGTTTACCTTGAGAAAAGGAATAACAAAGGGCCGTAATGGGAAGTTTGTGGCCTCCTGAAGCCGTGAATGAAACTCCTCAATGGTAACTGTTGAATTCTAGATATGAAGTGAAAAGTGAAGGGTATGAAAGATGTCAAACCAACCAATTATCATTTTCTAAGACCACATTTGTGCATCAGTAATTAAATACCCCTATCAAAAGTCACAAAGGGAAGATAAAACTGCCTTTCTACGAGACACTGCTTCATTTTTTTTCTTCTTCTTCTGTGATAACAAAAGACTTACCACAAGGGCCAGAACTAGGCTTCGGACACTATCTCCAATCTCAGGAGAAATGTCGTTGCCAAACTGCTGCAGCGTGGTCAGGAAGCGTTTCAGCTTGCTCAGCTGTCGAGCTCCACAGGTGGCCGGCAGCTGCTGGTTTGCCAGTGATGAGGAAGAGGAAGATGATGGTCCGTTGCTGTAACGCTGTGGCGGCGATGGCACTGCATTTAAGGTTGGCGGGGAATGATGATTCCCGTTGGTCACTGGGGAGGAAAGGTGAAATGGATGAGGGGAGAAATTAAGACAATCTTTGCTTAGAATGGACACATTTTTGATTCTTTTATCCAAGTAACAGTTCCAAGCTAGTGGAACTGATAAATTCAGACTAGGAATAAATGTAATAAAATACTATTTAAAAACAGTCTGCCTTTTTACTGTACCTTACAAATAAACTCTGAGGTGGGAACTACAAGTACAATTAGACACTTACTGGGAAACAAATCAGAATTTAAGAATGACCCATACATGCTGTGGTGGAAAAAGAGGCCGGACGAGGGCCGCTGGGGTTGACAGAAGGCAGGGGTGGCATAGTGGAGCTGACGCTGCTGCTGGGGGCTGATCTGGAATGAGTCTTAGCATCCACAGGAGAACCGGGCATGGCAGGGCTCTTCTTCTCTCTACTGTCTGCAGAAAGAGAGAGAGAGAAGTGAGGTCAGCACACAGCACATGCACAAAATAAATTCAAAGGCAGCCACGTTCTTGAAAACCCTAAAAAGAAATGAAGCACTTTAACTCACTAAAGCATCGTCATGACAAATAAGATTGCTAACTTTACCTCAGCTCAGTGGATTAAACGCATCCCTAGCTTCAAGTCTATAGTCACAAAAGAAAACAACCCCCTCCAACTTGCTTCACATTATACAGTCATACAACACATACTGCCAGGGCATCAGCTCCTCTGCCACCCCCATCAAAGAGCCAGATGTCCAAAATTTAGGCCTTCAAATCTAACCATTCAAATCAATAACAGAAGAAATGCTGAAGAAGCCTATTGTGAGGGAGAAGAATGCCCCCTCGTTGAGCTACCCAATAAAAATTGGGGGGTGAGGGGAGGCAGACAGAGAAAAGGACGGGACTATTTCACGCTTTACTAACAAGATCTGCAAAGCTTTTAAATGTTAAACGCAACTTCTCAATATGCTATTGCTGCTGAATAAGGCCACCAGATAAGGGGTTTGGAGGGGCTGTGCTGGTGGGGAGATGTGGGATCAGAAGCTGTCTTTGTCTCCTGGAGATCCTTAAAGGCTGGGTCCCGTCTCCATTTAGAGTGGATCAGACTTCTTTAACTGCTTCAAGAATGGACGATTAATAGACAAGCATGGTCTCACAGGTCATGGGTCAGCAGAGAGCAGCTTTTTAAATGTGGTTTCATGGTTTTAGGACTTTGGGTTCAATGGCGCCCTTTATATCTTTTTCACAGCTATGAACTTTGTATGGCCTTGAGCCACAGGGTCCCAGTTTATAAAGGCTTAAGTTGGAAGATTTAAGCTGTCAGAAGGTAACTCAAGAGAACTCAAAAGAAGGAGTAACACTTGGGACACCAATAAAAAACACTGCGCAAAAATGTGAAAAATAAGGAAATCAATGCAAGCAAAATTTAAAAGTTATATTACAAAAAAATGATAATGTATATAGACATAATACAAAACTTAGCTGAGCTTTCGCTTTGCTGTAGTTTTGACAACAAAGTTCTCAGCCCTGTTTGCCTTTCTTTGGGTCCATCTAATTGCACACTTTCTATATCTGCCCTGTCATGTCTGCAGCTCATTATACAGCTTTGACTGTTCTTCCTTCTGTTTT